AAAAGCCAGAGTAGACCTGTGACTCAAATGATATAGAATTACTAGCCTTGAGGAAAAGGCTCAGAAACCAGTCCCAGACCCTGTGTTCAAGCCCCAAGGCAGGAACACACACAATCAAAATCTCTAGCCTTGTTTAAAAGGACTATTTCAAATGTGCATAGAAAACTACCAAATACAATACAATAAAAGGCCAAAAAGACACAGATTTGCCAATTTATTGACAATGTTATTCTATGAAGAAAAAAATCCCTATAGAATCATTCAAATGATATGTATTGGATACTTTCCATGTACTATGCTACTTATGTACACTGAAAAGTAGTTTTTATAACATCCTATGCTATAGTATGTTATGCTGTAATAAAATCTTGGGGGAACAGAAGATCTTTGGAAAATATTTTTAATCTGTAAGTAAATGGCTTTAATTTCAGTTTTGTGGTGTTCTAAAGAGTTCAGAGGGTTTTTTTTATTGTTTTACTAGGTTAGTGCTCTTAAAATAAAAATGTCATATTTTTCAAATGATGCATCTAGTCTAAAAATGTCAACATTATAGGTTTTAAGTCTGTGCATTTTTATTATGCCCAAACATTAGCAAATAATGATTTGGGGGGAGGTCTTAATAGAAAATCCTTAGTTATCTCTTGTTAATGTGAGCATTCAGATTTGGGTCTGATATCACTAATCTCTAGTTCAGAATCTTATTGCTCCCAATATAGAGAAAAAGGTTAACTCATGACTTAAATGGAACCATATTACTTGGGCAGTTGATTGCTTGAGAACATGGCTTCTGTTGTCAGAGGCCTCCTCTGATTTTCTACTCTGATCATGTATTCTTCATTGGCCTATCTACTTCTGTTAGCATTAATCTTTTTTGGCCACTTTTCCAAGGTCTCAGTAGATTTTTTTTCTGGTTATAGGGCTTGAACTCTCAACCTGAGCACTGTCTCTGAGCTTCTTTTGCTCAAGGCTAGCACTCTACCACTTCAGCCACAGTACTACTTTTAGATTTTTCTGAGTAGTTTATTGGAGATAATAGTCTCATGAACTTCCCTGCCCAGGCTTGCTTCAAACCACAATCCTCAGATCTCAACCTCCTGAGTAGCTAGAATTATAGGTGTAAGTCACTAGCACCCAGCTTCAGTAAATTTTTTATTCTATTCATTTTCTTCTCCTTCTAATCTTTGTCTCCAGCAATTTCATTCAAACACTAGATCCCAGCCACAACTAAGCACTGAAAGCAAACAAATGTATGATACACAACTCTAGTTGTGTCCTTTTCCTTAAGTTCTAGCTCGGTACAGTCATCTAAGAGTAAGCATAACTTTTATGAAGTCACATGTGAGCCTGAAACTGAACTGTTCTTCTTTCTCCTACAGTGTCATTTTCCTCCTATAATATCTGTCATGGTTAGAAGCATCAGAAGTCCCACTAACTAGCTTCTCAGGTGCTTTAAAAGCATTCTATCTACTCATTCTTATTACCAGTGTAAAGTTGTTCAACAAGTCATAGTAATTCTGTTTCAAAACTATCCTGCAAGGAATGCAGAAAGGTTGTCAGTGGGTACTAAGATACAGTTAGGTAAGTCCACATGGTTGTGCTGTGACATTGTACAGTAGGGTAATTATAGAGAGCTGTACTGTATTTTACATTTCAGAAAGCATGAAGAATTTTGAAAGTTTTCGTCATAAAGAAATAAAAACTAGGCTAGAGGTTGGCTCGAGGGGAGTACCTGACTTACATGTGTGGGGACCTCAGTGTTTTCAGTACATCAAGAGAATCAATATTTGAGGGAATAGATATGCTTAAATGATCAATACACAGGTGTACATTTAACCAAACATCACATTAATCTATTGATACATATACTTTCATATTTTTAAGAATCAGTTAAATTTAACTGAATTTTTAAAAATATCCATCCTCCTCCAACATCTTGTCTAGGTTTAGCTATAGTTCAAGTTCTTATCATGTACACCCTGTGCAGCGATGGAGCTTCCTTAGCGTTTTCTGTTTTGTGTTTCTCCCTCTCACTTCATGTGTCGATAAAGCATGACGTTTGCTTTTAATTTTCTAGGTGCATTTATTAGCAGAAGTGAAAAAATGGTTGCATATGGAGAGCCAATCACATTTTGAAGTTTGTGTTTAAAATATTTTCAAAGAAATAAGAGACAAAATGAAAGATGTTGTGAAGTTGGACAGTAAGGACCTAAATGATAATTGGGAAAACTTCAAAACTATGAAAGACCATGGGGGCAAGCCCAAGCTCTATCCTCTTTACTCTGTTCATTTCTTGCTCTGCATTCTTTCTGTGGGTCATTTCAAACATAGTTATGAATTCAACTTCCACTACCCCATAATGCTGATACCTCCTAATTTTTAGACTAATATGTTAAAATGCCTATGAATTATCTCCATCAGGACACCCAATGGGAATATCAATATTAATAGGTCTAAAGATGAATTTGCTCCCAAACAACATCTCTGTTATCCATGCAAGTTTATCTGCTCTTCCTACACCATAAACCTGGGAATTATCTTGGACATTTCCTCATCCTCATCCCTGACATCTTCATTGATTCTACCTACCCAACGGCTCTATTATTTTCTCCATACCTTCTAGGGTATAATTTTAATGTCCTGCTTGTTATTTTTTTTCTGACACAAACCATTCCCTTTCAATGTAGTTCATAGACTAGAACATAATATTCAAATAATAAAGAAAGAGTCCCCTCATTTTTCTAGTATACAATAATTTCAATCCCATAATGAGAGTGGTTTTGAAGATTTTGGTCCTTTGAACTCATAAATGATAGGAAAGAAATGAATGGGGAGAGTTAAATTAGAAAGAGTGAAATTTTAATGTCAGTACAAGTAGTATCCCAAGAAGCTAATGAATATTTTAAGTTTTAGAGTCACATGATCATTGGTAAGACCAGGAAGCTCTTCCTGAATACTCCAGAAGGTTATTTAGAAAGCAACATAGATATTCCTTAAATGTGAATGCAAGTCCTAGAAGTTTATAAAGTAGTAACAAAAAGATGTGGTGTTACTAGTCTTGCTTTGAAGATGTCTATATTGTGCAATACAAAAATGTTGGGACTTACCTCTTGAGGACTCTTTTTCAGTTATGGGGCTTGAACTGGGGGCCTGGGCTCTGTCCCTGACCTTCTGTGCTGGAGGCTAGTGCTCTACCACTATAAGCCACAGTGCCACTTCCATTTTGAGGAATTTTTAGGAGATCACTGGCCTAAGTCTGTTTATACCTTGAATTCTACCTAATAAACTACATCCAATATAATATATGAAGAAACCAAAACCTAGAAACTTTATAAACAACTGAATTTCTATCAATCACAATCAGAAGCCCATTCACAGGCAGCCAAATAATCAGAAAATGTCCAAGTAAGTTAAATGCCTCATCATACAATAAGGCAAATACTAACTGTAGCCAATAAGGTAGACTTCTCTACTTTAATGCTTGGTCTATAAATCTCAATGACCCCTGCTTCAGAGCTCTCTGAACTTCTGGTTGTACTGTGAAACTCATTAATCATTCTTTGTTCAAATTAATTGTTTAATTTGCCTTCGGCTTTTGTTTTAACAGCAAAGTAGTTTGGAGAGAGCGGTGAAAAAGAATGGAAATACAGTGGAAGGGGGAAATTTGATCAAAGAACACGGTGAGAATTTATAGAAATACCACAAAAATACCCTCTCACTTGACAAACATGTTAATTCCAAAATAAAAAAAACAGTGAACATAGATGAGTTATATTATGAACATTTTCATTTTGGGTATCTTTAAAGATATATATGAAAAAGGATTACAGAAGATGAATTGGCAAAATATAGACCAAAACATGCTTTGTACATACATTTACTAAAATTCAGTCATATTTATTTTTTCAGGTTTCAGTTACTTTTTTTCAGCTACTTTTGTACGAGTTATTGGGACAGAAATGGCTGTCCACATAGCTCAAATACCTATTGTCTGGCCTTTGTCCTGAAATTCAGGAGATTTGAACAAAAGTTATAGAATTTTTCTAGAGAGAGGGAGGGGGCCCCTGAAAGGATGTCTAAGTGTCTCTGTTCTGTAACATTCTGTCTCTAGGAGAGGATTCATATTGTCATGGAACAAACCATTGTGGTGGGGAGTGGGACTTTTGAGAATAGCTTAAAAGAACTTCATTTTCTCTCTTCTTGGTGTCTATTGGTGAGTCCCATTTCCTCTTACATTCAAGAATTTTCAACTTAAAAGAAAGTTCACTTACTTCCTAGGAGGGGGACAGATGTTCCTCTGGAGCACCACAGGCCTCCCCCTCCAAAGTATGGAAGTTTGGAACAATCCTAGGGTATAAAGCCCCAGATCCGCGGGTACTTCTTCCCTTTCCCCCATATCCCTCAAGAGAGAGCAGGCCCTCTCTCTTGAGGTGGAATAGGCAGCTTTGGCAGGCCTGTACTAACTTTAGTCCCTCACCCTTGAGGTGAGGGCTGGTGGGAGGCGTGGCCTGAAGAAAGGGAATCTCTAGGGTGGGAGGACGCTTTGTGTAGGGTGGGAAGAGGAGAATCTAGGGTGGGAGTAAATTTGTCCGGTAGGAGGAGATATATTTAGGGTTGGAGGAAGCATTTCTAGGGTGGGAAGAGATGTAACTAGGGTGGGAAGAGGCATGTGTAGAGGAGGAAATGAATCTAGATGGGAAAGGGGTATGCCTAGAGGGAGAGGAAGCATGTTTGGAGGGATAGGAGGCTTGTCCATGATGGGAAAAGATGTATCTGGAGAGGGAAGAGGAATGTCTATGGTGGGAAGAGGAAGAGGCATAGGTAGATCGGGAGAAGGTGTGTCTAGGGTGGGACAAGCCTGGGGAATGTGGTCAAGAGGAATGAGGAAGGCAAGAACAGGGCCAAACATATGGAAGGAGATTGAAGCCAAGGGGACAGGGGATAACTGTTCAATCCGGGTTCTCTCAGGGCCAGAGCCAAAGCCACTAACTTCCTCCAACGTCATGGCCATGATACCCGATGACCCCACTAATGGGTTTCACCATGACAACGTCTTGGCTTTTATCAACGAGCAGATGGCAAGGCACCCTAAAGGGCCCGAGTTCTATCTTGAAAACCTATCTTTGTCTTGGGAAGAGATAGAGGACAAATTCAGGGCCATCTTAGAGGATCGCACAGTGCCCAGAGAGGTCCAGGAAGCCTGTGCCTGGAGCAGCCTGGCCTTGGGCGTGCGTTTCGCTCGCAGGCAGAGTTATTTACAGGAGCACCGGGTGCAGTGGCTTCATGAGTTTGCTAGACTGCACAAGTCGGCAGCCAACGCCTTGGCCTCAGACCTGAAGCAGCTCTCAGAGCAACAGGAGACAGAGCGCAGGGAGGCCGCATTCCAGCTGCGGGTGATCCGGACCAAACTGGCAGATGTGCAGAAAGAACGTGACATGCTCAAGCGCAAGCTCCTCCAAGCAGTAAGATCACACACACACACACCCCATTTTCCTGTTCCTGTCCCACTCAAATCCCGTTCCCCTTTCTCATCCCTAAGGCACATGCAGAACTTCTAGACATACCTACTTTCCCCCCAGGAACTGAAGGCACTCCCAATAGCAGAGGGACCCAGCCTACCCACTAATGTGATCATGGCTACTGCCAGTGCCGCTACCACTGCTGGAGGGGCAGGAACTGAGATGCAAGGAGTAAGTGATAAGGAAGATGTGGCAGATATGGAAATTTCTACCACAGATGTCGGAGGAAGTAAAGAGGAGATGGATTCAGCAACATCCGAGGTCCCTCAGGCGGGAGAAGGAACCCTCATGAAGCTTCTGGGGGCTATGGAGTGGAAAAATTACCCTTTTGGTGGACAAAGGGAGGGGAATATAAGAGCTCCTGAGAAGGCTAACTTTTCTCACTCAGGAACCCCGAATACAAGGCGCACAGCTTCCCCTGAGCCCCTTACTGTACAACTCCCTGCATCATTCACATACTCCTATGAAAGCCCCTTCCAAGTCTCCCCATCAACACCACCAATCATGGGCATTGCACCTTTAACTCCAGTGCCTTCTTACTTCATGACTCCTGATATTAGTCTAATTTCTGATATGGGAATCACTGGAGCAGACTTTGATGAACTTCAGGACAGGAAGGACTCAGATACCCAGCAAGAGAGAAAACTTCCTATCTTTCGACGTCCTGGGGACTGGGATTGTCCATGGTGTAAAGCAGTGAATTTTTCACGGAGAGAAAATTGCTTCCGCTGTGGGAGGGGAATCTGGCTGCAAAGCCCTTAGTGTATGCAACATATACCTGAAATAGAGTACATGCATACAGCAATTAGAGATTGAGCTGCTTTTGTGTGAGGAGATTGGAGACCTGGGTGCAGCTGGGGGAGGGTGGGAGGAGAATGGGGTCAAGGGAGTGGAAGGGAGAGCTCCATGGGGAGGATGTAAACGGGTGGAGACATGTTTTAAAGACTCCGTGTTCTAGATTATTAGCATTCAACAATGCGTGACTACTACAGCTTCTGTGGAGCAGTACTAGTGTACATCTCCCCACACTGCTGTCACGTGAACACTAATGGCTGGTATACAAAATCCCACCATCCTACACATGGGCCTTAGGTGATCTGTACAGGAGCAATTACTGCACCCATTCTGAGCCAGACTTATCCACAGGGTTGAGAATCTGAAGGGCAAAGCAGGGGAGCACTTGAACTTCGTACCACAGTCAGCCAAAAACATTGGCCACAGAGGCCTGGCTCTGGCTGTGGGGAAGCAAAATTGGGTATCTTACAAAAGATGTCTTTTAGAGGGTACCAGTATGCAGTCTTAGAGTGCAGACAAATATAGAGAAGTAAGAAGTCACTGCAGTGACTCCGGAGAGCTGGAGGATGGTGGAGGATGGTGGAGGATGATGGTGACACAGATATTTTCACTTATTGCAAGTCTGTTATGTTCAAGGCAACCAGATTGGCACCAGAAGAATAATTTTAAACAACAGACAGTCAATATGTTGGAAATGACTGGAAGTTGCATCAATTAGGCAAGCCATGGGGACTTCTACATCCCAAGAATCCCCAAGAATGAACTGGTGGCTGGCTCATTTTTTGAAGGTGGAGAGTATCATAAGAACCAAAACAGGTCTGGGGCAACCCCAGGCTTATGTTTAACCCATGTGAACATGGCTGACCATCTCTAAGCAAATGCTGCCAGAGGCTGTGAACAGAGGATGACAGCACCTGAATGTGGATAAACAACCATAAGGATTTGGGGGAGGGTGAGAACCCCAGCCTGCATTTTCCAGCCATGTCATTGGGCCTGTATGTCCCCCTGTAGGACAGGATTTCTGAACCTCAGTACACTTGACCTGAGGTGTTGGAGATTTCTTTGCTGCAGGGGGTTGGGGGCTGTCTGAGCACTCCAGGATGTTCAGTACAATGTCAACAGATGCCAGTGCTGCTCACTCCCCACTCCCTCAGTTAGTGACACCCAAAAATGTCTCCAGATATTTCCACATGCCCACTTGAGGACCAGATCATCCCCCCATACTAGGAGCCACGAAGGAAATAAGGGACTTAAATTTGAAATAGTCAAGAATCAAAAGAGAAGGTCAGCTGGCACTGGTGGAGGCTGAGATCTGAGGTTTGAGATTCAAAGCCAGTTGGGGGAGGCAGGAAAGTCCATGAGATTTTTTTTTCTTTGTCAGTCAGGGGGCTTGAACTCAGGGCCTGAGTGCTATCCCTGAGCTTTTTTGCACAAGGGTAGCACTTTACCACTTTGAGCCACAGCTCCACTTTTGGTTTTCTGGTGGTTAATTGGAGGTAAGAGTCTCATGGACTTTCCTGCCTAGGCTGGCATCAAACCATGATTCTCAGATCTCAGCTTCCTAAGTAGCTAGGATTACAGGTCTAAGCCACCACTGATGTCCAGTTAAAGTGTGTGTGTGTGTGTGTGTGTGTGTGTGTGTGTGTGTGTGTGCGCGCGCGCTAGTAGTCCCGGGACTTCAACTCAGGTCTGAGGCACTGTCCCTGAGCATTTTTGCTCAAGATTAGTGCTCTACCTTGAGGAACAGCTCTACAGTGTGAGACTCTTATCTCTAAACTACTCAGAAAATAAAAAGCCAGAAATGGAGTTCAGTGGTCAAGTACCAGCCTTGAGCAAAATACAACTCAGGGACAGTGCCCAGGTCTTGAGTTCAAGTCCTAGGACTGTCACAAAAAAGAGAAAAGGTCACAAAGGCTGAGGTGTCCAGTGAGTGAGTCTGGCATTTACTTAGGCTCTTCAAGCAAATTCAGAGCAATGACAGGGTAGAAGCCAAAGACTGAGGAGTGAGGAGAGAGGAGAAATGAGGAAGTGGGGCCCCCAGGGGGCGCACTTCTTCTAGGGCCTGGCTGTGAAGAGTAGGAAGGAAGGAGTTGCATGGTTGACAGAGGGAACACTGAACATCAGAGAAACCTGAGCTGGAGGAGACAGTAGAAGGGTGGAAGACATAAGAAATACATGAAAATTAGCATCTTGCAAACTATATTAGAGTTGTGGTTGCTCTATCACTATAGCATATGAAATGGTCATTTGTCATATGACAAGTTCACTTGGATTTTAAGACAAAATACCTTTAAAATAAAATTATATATATATATATATATTTACATATACACACAATTATATATATATACACGCATACACACACACACATACACACAAGTATATTTGTAGATTTGTGTTTCCATACAGGAAATATCTGGGAAAATGTTTGCCAAATTGAGGATTAATTTGGGAAAGTAGATTTAGAGTCTGGATGAGAGGCAATAAAGTACCAGAGTAGAGGGTGGTGTGACAGAGAATACAGTCCAGGTGACAGAGGCCTCTATTGCTTTATATACTTGTGTTTTATAAAAGAAAATGAATGAAATCTTCACAAAAAATTAGAGAACAAAATACGAATTTATTTGCTGGGCTGAATTTTGAAAAGGCTTTGTTCCCCCGGGAAACAGATAAGTAGGGACAATACGATTGTAAGTAGAATGTGGGAAAGCAAGGGAGGGGGAAATCCTACCTGCACTTGGATGCTAGTCAAGGCATCTAAAAGTGAGCCACACTAGAAGATTGAATGTGGATTTCTAAGGTATGATACACTTTGAAATAACTGTGGAAATGTGTTTGAGAAATAAGTAACTGAAAGAAAAGATCAGGAAACTGAACAGAGGACCCCATTCAAATAGGGACCAACTGAAACAAACCGTTTTAGTTTGGGATAGAAGTAGGAGTCCAGAAAGGGACATTGGAAAGGAAGGTTGGTTGTACCAGGAAGGACAGTATGTGTGTGTATGTGTATGAAATATATCTATCTATCTATCTATCTATCTATCTATCTATCTATCTATCTATCTATCTATCTATCTATATATATCATACACACTTCACCTATTTTTGGTGGTGTTGGTGGTAGGACACAGGTGCTTACATACTTAATAGGAAGTGCTCTACCAATTGAGTCATTCCCTGCCCTTTTCATGTTAATCATCTCTGAGTTAGTGTCTTGCTTTATGCCTTGGCCAGCCTGGACATCAATACTCCTATATCTGCCTTTCAAGGATTTAGAATTTCAAGCTTCAGCCACTGTAACCACCTAGCTTCCTTCTTTCTCTCTTTTCTTTTTTTCCTTCTTTTCTTGCTTCCTTCCTTCCTTCCTTTCTTTCTTTTTTTCTTTTTTCTCTTTCTTTCTTCCTTTCTTCCTTTCTCTTTCATTACCTCTTTCTTTCCTTTTTTTGTAGTGGTAGTAGGGCTTGAACTCAGGGCCTGAGCATTGTCTGTAAATCTTTTCACTCAAGACTGATACTCTACCACTTGAGCCAAAGCTCCACTTCTAACATCTCTGTCTTTCTTAAAGCATATATTACCTCCTATCATGTGTGATAAAATAAAAAATGTCACTATTTGAGGCTTTCCCCATCTTCTTGTCCTACACACATATCCTCTTTTTTTGCTCTTTGGAGTCTCTCTAAATATGAGAATCATGGTACAGCAAGCAAATCATTTCAGGGTAATTATTATAAAAATAAGAGTAATAGACAAAAATTGCTGATGTATTGCGAGGAACAATATTAGTTTAGCCAAATTAAATCAGTAAGTGGGAATAAGAGCTACATACAAGACTAAAGAATCACGTGATAGAGGATGAGAAAGCAAAAAAGAGGGAAAATGTGCAAGAGAAATTTTACAGGCAGAGTTTTTAGATGGGAACGAGTGTGAGGGATGACAGGAGATATTTCTGGGCAGATACAGCATGTGTCATAATGGGAATGAAAACTGTGTAAAAATCATTTTTAAGTGTTCTATGAGGTGAGCTAAAATGGTTTTCCCATTCCCCACAATGGGAAGTAATAAATACTCAATAATTATAGATTAATGATAATTTTAGAAATGTTTCCTTTTGAATTATGTGCATTTCTATGCTGAACTACATTAGATCTTGTCCTTTTACTTATGTTTCTTTGATTATAATTGTAAATATGTCCTAATTCCTCTTTTGATCTGTTAGAAATCAAGAGCCTAGTCATTCACTTTTGCTTTTTATAGTAGCTTTACATAGAAAGTTCTCAATAATTATTTGTTTAAAGTGATATCTGAGAGCTGAATATTTGTGAACCAGAGTAAAAGTACTAAAAGAAATATCTACTTAAGGATATACCTCCTACAGAGTTCCTACTTCTCTCTTCTTTGACGGAAAGATACTTCTAAGCACTTCAATAGAGCAATCAGTTACAAAGTTTTTTTTAATATATATTTTAATATATATTTTATTGTAGAGATACTATACAGGGTGGTTACAGTTACATGAGCAAGGTAATGAGTCCATTTCCTATCAAGTGGTCTGGTCCTATCTCTGAAATTCCTATTTTAACTTGATCCTCACTTTTCATTAACTTAGAATATCCATTTCACTGTCTTTTGCTGTTCATCTTTAATCAGTAGAATTCTGTCATTATCATTATACAGTACACTGAAGAGACTGAGAAAAGAACGATAGACCATTATACAGGCATGAATTAACATAACTAATCACGCCTCATTTCTTGTAAATTCATACTTCTATATAGAACAGGAAGGGTAGCTAATGAATGAGAAGACAGTAGAACAAATTGGTTATGGTTAGGACTATGGCATCTGATGGACTCCAACATTTAATTAGCCATGTGTCTTAGACAGATTCTTTGGCTTCTACGAATACCAGTTTTTATCCTCAATAATATGAACTATCTCATGTGGTTATTATGAAGATGAACATAATA